GGGAAAGAGAAAGTGCGAAGTCGAGGTGTTGGGCCTGGCAGAGCTCAGGGCTGCCTTCGGTTTTCTTAACTCAGGAAAACCTACAAACGAGGCAGAAGGTTCGCTGGGAATTGGTAGTTAAAACAAGAATAGATTCTCATCAGTCATCTAAGGAAGACTGCATCAAATATACTTCAGAAGTGTGTTGGTTTCAAGTTTTGAATGGTTTTCAAGAAGCCCTAATGTGATTTCATTAAAAATGGGTTAAAGTAAATTACACACAGTTCATCTATTAAATGCCGTTGCTAAGTTTGCAAATGGAATTTCATTTTTAACAAATTAAGATCTGAAATGAAAAACTATAAAAAAAAATGTTCTTATTTGTAAATATCGTAAGGTAAGAATATGGTTACTGTCTTATTTTTAGAAAAGGAAATGCAGGTTCCTTTTTAATACCTTTAGGGGCTCCATGTGCTTATAACTTAGTTATAAGAAAAGGTATGATGTAGCACATCAGGATGGTTTGTATTATATTTGTTGAACCAGTGGCATATCTTAGCACTCATTAATGTCATAAAGTTAAGTTCTACGCACACATACACAAAAGGAAATTGGTTGACTATAAATATATCGTATGAAAAAGAAAGGAGAAAATCAAATTTCCAAGCTAAAAATGTCTCATTTCCATTTTAAGATGGCATAGAGAAAGTGAAAGGTTAACAATTTAAAAATTACCTACGTGCCTACTCTTTTTTTTTTTTGAAAAAATGGACCCAGGACTTTATATTTATCAATTTCTGTCTGCCTCCTCTCTCCTTACAGGGCATGCTGCTGAAGCGAAGTGGCAAGTCGCTGAACAAAGAATGGAAAAAGAAATACGTCACCCTGTGTGACAACGGTGTGCTGACCTATCATCCAAGTTTACATGTGAGTATCGCTCCTTCGGAGAAATTAGCAGGTGTCGGGCTGTGAGGGGCAGAGGGGGTCCCAGCACAGTGAAGCCTTTCAGCTCTGTTGGAGGTTAAAGTAGTATTTAAATGAGAGTAAAAATTTTAAGTGAGAGTAAAAAAGACAGGAGCAAGTAGTACAAGAGAAAGGAGAAAAAAAAGAGATCTGTCTGAAAATCTAGACCAGGGAACCCAGGGTCAGCTTGAGCAGCTGAGAACGGAAACAAGAATTACATGCAATTCATGAGTCAGTTTTTATTGTCCGATAAGAACACATACCAGTTTGTGAGGCAAGTTCGTTTTCTCTGTGTAATAAAATCTCTTATACTGGTGATTTTTATAAGATACATTAAAAGACAGTGAATTTCATCATTGGGGGAAAAGTAGACATTCCACCCACGGTGAGCTCTTTTAGAAAAGCTCTGGTAAAACCTGAAGACGGAGTGTCATGACTATTCCAGAGCAACACATTCCCTGAATCCTGCGTGATGTTTATCTGCCTTGATGTAGACACATGTGTAGATTAGAATATATAGTATTAGCTGGTTGTTTGATTATATCACAGTGTTAAGCTTTTCATGTTAAATACTTGTAAAAAAATTGCGCAGTGACTGGCAAGAAGTTAGAAATAAACATACAGAAGATGAAAATCCCCAAATACCCACTGGAAAACGTGACTGCTCCCATTTTGGGGTGTATATCCCCAGCCATTTCTACACTCTGTGCTTTTCCCTTCCACAAGCATGCAGTCCCCCTGTGCACGTGGCATGTGGCCTGCTCTCCTAGACGATGCAAGATCATAGGCACCTTCCCATGTCAGCAAATGTATGCCACCATTTAAAATAGTTCTGTAACATTCATCCTGCACATGTGCCCTAATTGACTTAACAGTATCTCCAGAACAGACATTTGGCAAGTAAATTTACATTTTGAATGATTTTTGCTGTTGTAAGCAACTCTAATCAGTGTTCTCTTTTGACACTTCCGTGTCCTCATCCATTTCCCGCAGATTCCAAGCCGTAGCCTTCCTGAGTTGAACAGTGTATGCTTTTATGGGCTTTGGGTATGTAGTGCCAAATTCCTGCCAAGACGGCATCCGTTCGTCTCCTCTGGCTTTTCCCCCTGCACTCTCAGGAACATTGCCCTTTTTCAAAAGCCTTTCCAATGGGATGGGTAACAGACGGTACCCTCGCTGTGTAATTTGCTTGCTGGGGTGAATTGCCCTTTCCCTCTTGTCTTACAGCAGTGGCTTCACCTTTCTGAACCGTGTTCAAAAGCATGTGTTTCTTTAGGTGTCTCTGGTGTGTTTCTCCTGTTGATGGGATGCTTCCTATGCTTCACCATTAAGTAGACTTTTGAGATATATACTCCTTCTTTTACAGAGGAAATTCCTTTGTGCTTGATTTATTTGGGGTTATTTGGGGGGTAGAGTCCGCCTGCTTCTCCAGTGACCTCCAAATCAGAGACTTAATACCATCCCATGAGACCTGCCCGTGACAGTCCTGTCCCTCTCCAGGTCCTCGGGGTTCTCTCCGCAAAGCTGCTCCATCAACAAGGAGGCTCTGCCCTTTTTCCCTGGCGTAGTTCTTCCAAAGACCCCGTCAGAGAGCAAAGCCTAATTATTGACCCATTTGCTTTATGTTACTTAGAGGGAGACGTGCAATCACCATCTTCTTGCTGGGAAGTAAAAAAAAAAGTGAGATCTGATTGACGATGCATCTTAAGTCACCTTACGCTCACCTGCTAAGCTCAGGTGCCATCAGAGGGGCATTTACTCCTACTTGCCAAGGGGGAAAGATGATAACAACAGAAGATGGTACTGGAACATTCCTGTAGGAGGGCTGATACCCACTTACTTTTCATCTCAACCTCTTGGTGATGTAATCAGCATTGGTTCTTCAAACATTCTCCCACACAGTCTGCTGCTTCTCATGGCCCTCAGTGCCATCATTTTTTTTTTTTCCCTATGTATGCATGGATATTATTGGAATCCAGAAAAGGAGCACAGTGGGGCTTTGTTATGTAATTGTAGGGCAAGCAAGAGCCAGTGTCATTTTAAAGTGCATTTCAGTTAATGCCAGTCTCTTGGGAACTGGAATTGCTGATGCGGGTACACAGTTCCCTAAGGGAGTGGCTTAATCTAGAAGTCGGTTTGAATTACTAGAGCATGACGGGGTGGCATGACCTTCATTGTAAATCCTTCACCGATTTTGTCTATACAGCTAAGCTTTGAGTGAAGGTTTAGAGGGCAGTGAGTTTCAGGTATATTCTCTGGCAGGTACCTGGAACGGATCGGTTCTAGTCTAAGTTGTTGGGAGCTACAGATCCCCAGCAGCTGAGTTAGACTGGCATTCTTTGGTTCCAGATGGGAGGAGGTATTCAAGGGGATGTCCAAGGGCAGAATCCTGACTTTCCTTAATAAGAAATTTGGGAGCATGCAGATGTGTTGGTAACTCAAGTCCCAAAGTTCTGCATCATGGAGAATGGCCCCATTATTTGAGTCTGGAAAATTTCAAAAGGTGATAGAACCAAATGGTCTCAAACATTGATCACACTGTGTCACTCACTCCCTGGCTTATCTCCAAGATGTATTATGGCAGAAGGGCCTCTAAGCTCATTGGCCACTTGTGCTGAGGACCTAAGTGGTTAAATGTTGGGGAAGTCTTGCCCAGGTTGGTGGCTTTGGGTTTCAGTACTGTCGGTCATCACCCTCGCACTGGCCATGGAGCAGGGGACCTGCATTGATCTCAGGTAGCAGAGCCTACAGCCTGTTCCTCTCCAGGGAGCCAAGGAAAGGAACTTGGCTAAACAGTCTGACATTTTCAGATAGTTTTCTACAAAGATTGCGTTTGTCCTTTTGGTGGAATAGCTGTGCCAGCTCCCGTGTATCCTCGTAACTTTTGGCGATGAGGTAATTTATTTACCAAAAAGGAAACTGGCATGCTTTTTGGAGGGTGGGATTCCAGTAAGGTAATGCGCCTGTAATGGGGTGGGGTTGGGCGTCTGAGAGCAATAGGCTTGAGATGCACCAAACGTGTATCATTCAAACAGATGTTAGGTGGGGCCTGTAGCAGCCCCAGCAGCCCCTTGAAAACCAGCATTTACCTGTTGCCGTGTGGCTCTCCTCTTGGTGGGACAGGCATTTATTTGCTTTGCGCACATGCACTGCACATGGACTCCATCAGGCTGGACCCTGACTCTATCACGAGTCACCTTCGACGTGGTGTCCTGTTGAGCCCAAGGATCTCGGCGGGGTCTTGCACACAAGGAGGACTGGAGCAAGAGTAAACGACTGAATCAAGCTCCTGGGGAAACAGGCCAGCGTGGTGAGGGCCCTGCATTGTTCTGTTGCCATCAAAGTGCGTCACCTGCAGAGTGTCGCCTGCATCAGAGAGCGTGGTCTGTAAGGCTGGACCCCCTCAGCAGGGGCTGATCTAGACAGCTCCTTCGTTAGCCAGCCAATTTAAAATCCCAGATGACCACCCTGACCAGTGTTCCCGGACCGCCAGGCAGGCAAGGCCAAGGGTTTATGACAGGGTACAGAGTTTGCTGCTGGACCGTGCTGCCTGCCCCACAAGCCTCTCCTTCCCCAGCCTTGCCGCATCACCCCCTCAGCTCCGCTGGGCTGCCAGCAATGCTGGTTTTCTCAGATGTTTTCTTGGACAGGATGCTCCAGCAGCACCGGGCTCTACCTTTAACTTACTTAGGGCGCTGTGGAAGCGGGAGACTGACCACTTCCTTTAAAAAAATGGGGGGCTTCCCTGGTGGCACAGTGGTTGAGAGTCTGCCTGCCGATGCAGGGGACGCGGGTTCGTGCCCCGGTCTGGGAGGATCCCACATGCCGCGGAGCGGCTGGGCCCGTGAGCCATGGCCGCTGAGCCTGCGCGTCCGGAGCCTGTGCTCCGCAACGGGAGAGGCCATGACAATGAGAGGCCCACGTGCTGCAAAAAAAAAAATACCCACACGACTCGTATTTTTTTGTCTTTGTTGGATGCCCTTTAAAAAAAGATCTCCCAGAAGAGGTCATTTCTATTCTTGAGGGAAACAGATAATGGTTTCCTTATTACCCAGGTGTCTGTGGAAGTGTTTATGTAAAGATCATCCTTTGGACCCGAACCACAAGTTTCAATCCCAGCAGATGTCTCGCACGCGTTGGTGGGGTAGAAAACAGACGCAGCCTTTGGACAAAATAAACAGTCAGTGTGTGGCCCCAGCTGTGTGCCCAGCTTGTGGAATCCTAGCAGGATGACGTGCTCTGGCTTGTCAGAAACTGTGGCTTAAGAAACAGGCTGGCAGTCATGAAACTGGGGGGCCTCAGCTTTGCAGCCGGCAGTGGGGTTTGTGTGAGACCAAGTTCACCGAGTGCTTGGAATGAGTCAGCTGCCAGGGAATCTGACGCTGGTGCCCCTGGATGACCTGTCCCCCTCAGAGCTCCCATACACAAGATTAATAGAAAGGGACCTCGGGTGGTGTCCCCAGGACATGACTTCCCATTGGTCACCATAGCTTCAGATGTCCCTTTCCTTCTGGCTCATCCTTTCACAGCCACATCATCTTCCCAAGCCCTCAAAGTCGGCCCAGTTTGATGGCATCATCCCGGATGTGTCTTTCTGGTTTTCACCCCAAGCCTCATCTCAGCTCCTACACAGATTATTTAGGAGCCCAAAATCCTGGGTCCCTCTGCCACACAGCTTGGCCTCATTCTGCCAATTCTGTAGCACAGGTGTCCCTAAGCCTTCCCTGTACCGCAGATAGACATCATTGAAGGAAGATTTTTCACCCCAGGCATGTTTCCTGTTGTTGAAAACCTTAAACACTTCTCTTAGGGAGGAGAGACCCTCTCCGGGCAGTGGAATAGAATCGCCTGTGTGTGGCCAGATCATAGGAAGTGATCATCTGGAAATCAGAGGGAAAGTGGGCCAAACATTGATCCCACCCAGACGGAGAAAGTGCCCTGCAAGTTGATATCAGCGATGCCTC